TAAACTTAACTTGAATTATTTGTCACAAAAACACTCAAATATAGGTTTCCGTTCGAAATTTTCGAGATTATTTTGGCATTATAAATGAAAAGATTTAAGAGATTGGATATTAATAGAAGATTAAGAATAGTAATGGGTCTGAGGTAGAAGAGGCTAAGGAAGACCAGGAGAGTGAACAATGAGAGAGAAGTCTCTGTAAAGAGCTATGCAAACGAAGTTTACATATGGCTGATAGGTGCAAACATTGCTTAGTACCACTTTTCGCTTTATTTTCTCGGTCAATGATCAGTAAAGTTTCCAAACAAAGTAGTTCATTATAAGGATAGTGTTGCTGTTTGATAAGAATGATCTAGCGTGTTTAAAAGCTAGAATTCATTAGGATAACTTAGAACCACAAATTATATTTAGATCGTTGAAGTGTATGGTAAACACCGGAACATACTGGAAGTGGTAGCGTTTACAAGAATTAAAATGAATACACCGTGTTTGAATATTGAAAAGATAAGGAAATTTTTCAACTTTTCACCATTACGATGCAATGGTGAAATTTAGAAGTGATATGATGATAGCCTGAATATCTATCATTAGCGACATAAGCGTACAAGTTTGGAGGATTTTTTTCACCTTTAATCTTATCCATCTTAACGAAATCGTATCGATGTGTCGTGTTGTCTTCAATCAATAATTATGATTTTATTTAATATTTTAGTAGGTTATAATCTATGTTTTAGAAGTGCATATAGTCATTTACAAAGAACTGTACTTCATGAAGATCAAGTAAGTATTAAGATAGTTTCAACAGTGGTAATCATGAATTCCAATGATGCATGATAAACTTAATTTTATGAGTTATCATGATGTGGTGTATTTCAAGGCAAATAACGAATTATCATTTGGTATGCAAAATGAACCATTTGGAATATTTTAAAATCATTAATCATCAAGTTCATTTAATAAATTTTATTTAACAACATTTCATTCAGTATGAAAGTTGGAGTCTGAAAATAATTCGGCTTGATAAGTTGACTAACTTTTGCTGATTACGTATAGTAGGTGATTAAAACTATAGAATTAAAAATCATGCTGAATTGTTCGATTGTTTCCACCCTTGAAATGAATGAATGCATGGTGTACGTGATGATCTGCAATGGTGACGTGTACATCTACGTAATCCACGTCTACAGCCACTCTTTCAGCCCCTCCTGTCGACTACTACCACTATAAATCATCAATCTCAACAGTAATCTAGTCGACAATGAAGCTGTTCTTGTTTTCGAAGACTTTTGAAACATTATTGGCTGCTACCCAACTATTTTGGCTCCTTTCCATTTCTGGCACACACACACGATGATAAATGCACAGCTTCTCTGTGTCTGTCTCCGTCCATAGTGCACTATCTTTTCTACGTCCTAAGCATGGAGCTGCATAATGTCCATTCTTTTTTTATTTTCTTACCTCTTTCCCGGCGTACTTCATCACTACCACAGGCCGTTAGCTAGTGAGCAAGTTACACTAACTCACGTCCGCGCCATATTTTTTTAATTGTCGTTAAGAGGTAATGAGACAGCCGTATGTTTTGTAATCCTTGTTGGTTGCACCACTATTTATCAGGTGTGAATTTTGTTGTTCGTTCTCTTCCTATTCCCTTACTTCAACTAATTACGTTTGTGGTCGTACACGTTTTCCACATACACGGATGAATGTACGTATAGGGTTATTTACATGCATCATAATGTCTCTATGCTGTATACTACCGCGAATAACTTTCGTGTTTGAAAGAAAAACTATGGAGCAAATATTTGCCGATAGTTGCAGGTCCTCATTTTTGTTTCTAATTCTTTATCAGCATGTCACTAATAAAATCTATATTATAGGGAGAGGTGAAGAATGCTATGAGCTTTAGTAGTGCAGTTGACATAAAAATGTCGGATCCAGTAATTGAGCAGTAATTACCAGTGAACAATATGGAGAAATACTTTTATTAATCCCGGTCTGGAAAAAAGTCAAAGTTAACGATTTGGTTGTTTGGATTAGATAGAAAAACAATAGCGCTCAAATTTACAGCACATGCAGCGGACCTAACTGCGATAAACTTAGCGGAGAACAAACCGATAATCTGAAATTTAACATCTGGTTCCCTTGCTTTTCGTTATGTATTTCAGGTTTGAGTTGAACGCGATGCTAAAAAGCATCGTGTCCGTTTGTCTTCATTTATTCGCTCTGATCTGGAAGTAAGATTAAATTGCAGTATTAAGTTCTCTTCATCGTAATGGTAAGTTGAAGTTTCAGTCATTTCAATCAACGATTGGCATACTGTAAATGCACTAGTTCAAGAATCAGATTTAGTATGTGAGTTGGTTGGTTAATCTTCGTTCTGTTTTCCATTTTTCATTACTTTTCTTACATTTGGGCACCTTTGGTTTCAAGCCTTTAACTTTCCTACATATCAGTTCATTTTGAGCAGTTTGATGATGTTACCAGTTCTGTTGAATTTCACCAGTAATGTCTGTCTTTGATATAATATGTCTTGTTATAACCGAATTCATTAATTTCGTACTTTCCCTTTGCAAAATACATGTTTAGAAAGCAGAGAATGAGGTACAAACAGCGACTGATTCAATAAGGTTTTAATCGAACTCTTTTCTTCCACATTTGCAATTACCTTTACAGCACCGTTCGTTTTAGATTTTAATTTGCTGTATCATTTTGCTACTTCTGATATTAAAATAATTTTTTTCTGGGCCTATAATCATTTTTGTTAGGAAGTTTTACTTTTTCACTTTTAATGTAACCTTTTTTTCTTTTTCACTTTCTTTTCTAGGATTCTGTGCCTGCATACTAATTGGGAGTTGTGATCGTACAGTTAGTGTTCTGCCTCATATAACTAAAGGTACGTTCTCATCGTTATGCTTATATAATAGTTTTTTAATGTGTATGTTAGTTAATAAATCTTTGAGGAGTTAAGCAACGTTATAGCGGTGGCCACTTTTAACCTCTTTAACTTTATGTTGAATTTGAAAACGGAAATATCATTATCTGCTTATATTTGCTTAAATAAAATTTCCTGAAAACTTCTTAAGCTTCTTATTAAATAAGCTTATGAAAAAGATTAACGTTTCTCGATCGTGGTCGTAGAAATTGTTTGCATAATGAAATATTGATGAGCTTTTTTATTGTGTTCTTCGTTAACTAGTGCTGTACTTCAAATAAGGGGTTTAACATTTTTTGATAAGACAGCAAAGCGCTTGCTGTTGTTTGGTCTAATTCTTCTCTGAATGTTCCACATTTATTTCAAATTTAAACGACATTGAAAAATTGTTTGTTTACCAGTTTTTATTTAATGAACTGATCCAAGTTTGCTCAGCTTATCATTTCTTTGCCAGTTCTGAATTCTATAATTGTTTGTTGGTCTCTTATTGATAACATATTTTTGTACATATTCAGAGTCTTTCATTAAACAGTTTATTTGCAGATAATCTTCTCGCATATTCTCTTTCATTTACTCTTCACCTAATTAAGATTGTCTGAATTCTGGTTTTCTGCTGGTAATATTAGATCACCACAATGGAGCTGCTCCGTAGTGATTTGTGCATAATAAAAGGGAAAAAGTTTTTTCGAGGTTTAATGTTGTTTCATAAATGTGTAAGGCGAACTATATATAGTTTTGTTGTATCTGTTTGGTTGAAATCTGTCATTTAATTGGCTGCAGGTTTTGTTGAATTACGTAAAGTGGTCGTTGATTTTTTCTGTGTTAGCTATATTTTATATTAGTACTACAGTGGATTAATTTAAATTATTTAGTATAAATGGAAGTTCATTTCCCTATGGTTAGTACATTCAATATAAAACCGGCACAGGGAAATTCCATATCATTGGTCAGCAAAGATTTATTGTATAGCAGCTGTCACCATTTGGATTTAAAAAATTGTGAGGCGAAATTCTGTCTCTTATCTCTTTATAGTTGAGTGGTGGTGCTAGTAGTAGTAATGGTATAAATGATGCACTTTATTTTCTAATCACCTGTAACACAATGCTTTTAGTTCATACATGCTTCCACGTAGATATTTAAACATTTGTGTTTTTTCAATCTTAAATTATATGATCCGAGTAATTTACGGTAGTTTTAGAAACGATAAGTGGGTCTTGGCGTTGAATCGATTGCCACAAGTCCTACTCTACCAAAAAGGATCATCATATATGTAAACATTTGCTTTTTACATATGTTAAATACAACCTTCTTGATATTTTGATTTGTTTATCAGATTTCACAAATTTCTATGGATTTAGAATAGGTAAAAGTGGGGCAAAGAGAAGGGGAACGGGAAGGCTACGCCGATTTGGATGGTGAATGTGTACATGGTTTGCGGGCATCGTCATCATTTCCTTGTGCATACAACTTTCCCCTCACAGCCATATAGACTCATGTAACAGTAGTTAGTGGCTTTTCGCTCATCTCATTCACATGGTTCCCCGCAAATGTATGATTGCTCCCACGTTCCAATACCCTTTTTCATCCTTAAAAAAAAGTATAATTTGTTAAAACTCGTTACACGTGTTTTGTATCTCTCTATTCCTTTATTGTATTTTCGTGATTTTTTAATGTCAGCTAGTTACTTTTCAGATTTCTTTCTGATTCACGAATGCTTTATAAAAACGGTAAAAGGGAGGGAAAAAGAGAAATTCAGACACTTGTTATGAAAAACAAATTTGTTTTTTATTTATATATGCTATGAATTATGAGTTTGTAACTTTGAACACAAAGATTTGAGATTTTCTCGAATAAAATACAAATTCTAGAACTGGCAAGATGTTATAGGTAGAGTCAGCTACAGTGACTTTTTACTTAACTAAAAATAGATGATAAAACAGTGCTTATTTGTGATTTTCAGAATCTTTTAAGGTTAACAAAGATTTCTAGAATGAATCGAGATTGCTGAATTCATCAGAATGTATCACATCTTCCGTCGGTCAAATTTAATGAGCTTTTATTTAGGAATTTGATGGATTTATTGACTCGTGGTAACAACGAAACAAAGTCATATTTGCATGAAAAGATGTGCGGTACACCATCGTCCTCATCTAACTGCTATCGGAATAAGACAATCGCAACCCAACAGACGTGGCATCTGCTTACAGCAGTCGAAGTAGGAGATTCGGAGCAGCAGTCGTCGTCTACTCCAATGGATTACCAGGAACAAATAGGTAAACATAAGCTGTTTTGTAATTCACATGTAAGAATTTAAATCAATTTCCCATTATTTTTCTAATATTAGTGCAAGAGTGGGTGAGTTTTGTTGTATCGTAAAATATTGAAAAATACTTGTGGCAGGTGAAACAACCTCTAATGCTCAGACGAAAACTGAACCTGGAACGATGAGTTCTATTTATTATTTTGGTGCCGACAATCAACTGTTAAATTGCACTCCCAACACTGCTTCTAAATGTTCTGGTCAGACACTTCAGCAGTTAAGCACATCCATGCAAGATGTAAGATTTTGGGGTATTTTCTGTGTGTCCAGTAAACTTCATTGTTTGTGATCTTTTTTATACTTTGTTTTTTTGTCAGCTGCAACAGCAGGGAGAAGATGTACAAGTCCGTTCAGCGTGTGCATCGACAGTATCACGTTTGTCAGCTGGGCAGGGAAATTGCATTTCGTACTCCACACAACAAATAGCACCGATAAGTGGAAGTACAGTGTTTCGTTTTTAAAATATTATATTTTGTACTTACTGTGTTAAGGGTATGAGATCTTTGGTTATTCATTAATGTGTATTAATGAGTGATAGCACTTCTACTAGGACATGGTACATAAATGTATATAGACTATATAATACTGCCCTTCAAACATTTGGATGTTGTCCATCTACTCGTATCAGTTGAACTATTGTTAATTGTCGAATACTTTATAGACTTCATTTGTACAAGTTTACTGTTTAAACTCAAGTTATTCAGTGCCAGCTCATAATTCTTCTGCATCCAGCAGCAATCAAAATTCACTTGCTCAGATATTGTACATGAGAAATCATAGACCACGGATACAACCTCATATTCGACCCAAGGTAAAAATAGACCTCTGTCTTTTTATTTTTTATATAAATATTTGTCTTTGTTTATCCTCTTTCTAAAGAATTATTCATTTCTAGGCAGTAAAAATCATTCAATTCCAGCCATCGGATGTCGCAGCAAATGTGAAAGATTATCCACCCGCGGCACCAGTACCAGAAGCATGGTGTCATGCCTATTATTATGAACTTAATCAACGAGTTCGTTGTATGACACTGCTTTTGCCGTCTTAAGAGAAAATTTTCCGTTTGAAAATTTAAGGTTTTGCATCTTCACATTTTAGTCCCTTGAAAAGCAAACATAAAAGTTGACTTTAGATCGGTGAGCCTTTCAAAGGTGGTACTTCTCATGTTATTGTTGATGGTTTCTGCGCACCATCTGAAGCAGAAAGGTTCTGTTTGGGAGCTTTGGCTAATGTTAATAGAAATCCTGGAGTTGTGAATGCTAGACGTCAGATTGGTAAGCACTATTTTTTTAAACTATCATTCTATCATTCTATATGTTTAAACATATTGGGTTAATTAATGATTCATTTTAAAACTCTAAGTGGACAACTGATATTTACTATTTCAGGACGTGGTGTTAGGATTTTTCGTCAGGATGAAGATGTTTATGCAGAATGTCTGAGTGAAGCACCAGTATTCATTCAAAGTCCCATACATGCTGTGAAATCTCATGACCATCCGGCTACCGTTTATAGACTGCCGTCAGGTAATTTCATAAGAATTTTTAAAAAATTTGTGTGGGTTAATAATAACAAATATTACAAATATAACCCTCACTTGTACAAAAGTCCTTTTACTTGAAGATAGTTGATGGTAATGTTTACGCAATCATTTGCAGGGCATATTATGCAAGTTTTTGATAACGAATCATTTGAAACTTTGTTAGCTCAGTCAACGAGCCAAGGCTTCCACGCCGTTTATTCCCTACAGGTGTGTTTTCTTCTTTAAAATTACTGTTGTTAGCGTAAGCAATGGAAACAAGATAGATTGCCAGATTTGACTTTTCTATTTACTTAATTGTTTCGAAATAAAGTCTACAGCGGATGTTATTCTTGTTGGACGAAACGGTATTTGCATAACATTGCTTCAACGCATTATATTGTTTAATTTCAGCGAATGTGCCATATGCGAATAAGTTTTGTGAAAGGTTGGGGTGAGCAGTACAAGCGACAGACAATAACGTCAACACCCTGTTGGGTGGAAATTCATTTAGCCATACCGTTACAAAAGCTTGATCGTGTTCTGAGCCAGATCCCAGGTCCTAATGATCCCATTCACAGTTTTACATAAATCCATTTCGTTATTTCTTTTGCTGATTGAAGCAGTCTTCTTTGTTCTATGCTTGTGTGTTGTATTTTACGTCGTATTAGATTTTCATCCGGTTTTTTTTTTTTTTTGTAGTCAAGTAATGTGTCTTGCAATTATAGTTGAATTTTTAGTTACTATAAATTATATTACTTATATTGTTTAAATATGTCTAGCCCGTTCTGAGGCTTTTCTTTTTTTTTATGTATTTACAGTGACTATCAGAGCACTCAGAAGTGAAAGCGCTGTGCACTCAGTAAGAATGCTTAATGCTGTTTATTTGAAATTTTCATTTTTCTTATTTTGCTCATTTTTTAGGCCATAAGGGTGTTTGTTGTTTTTACTGTTTATTTCACGGTATAGTAAATTCAGAAACATCCTTTTTGAAGTTTTTTATGATAAAGTAGAGTTGTGGTGAAAATTCATGGTAGGATTCCATTTTTAGGAATCATCGGTTTATTTATGTAAGAGTCCTTTATACCCGGTTATTCCATGTAAAAATACCTGAGAAGATTAAATATGTGGTTAATGGTGGTAGGTTAATATTAGGAATACATTAGTTGCTGGATTTCGATCTAGATTTTTTATGGCTTACGTTGATAATATCAACTTAGTGAATTTATAAGATTTGATCACATAAACACTTGTTAATATAAAACGGAACTTGAATTTTCCTTTGCTTTCGCAATGCTATTTTTCATTTTCGTCTGTAACTGCTCAATGATACTTTCTTTTAAAATATGGTTTCTAATAGTCATCTGAATTACCGCAGTTTTTGTTTCATTGTGTAAGCCTTTCCTGTGTCCACTTTTCGCAGTAGTTTTCGTTTGATTACTTTTTTCCATTTAGGAAATTGTGATTTCTTAATTCACAAAGTATTGATGGTTTATCTTTACATATCTCGTTATTTTTAACCTATTTTTCCGGTTTTTCATTATTTCATTATTTTTTTTTTCCGCTTAATACTGTTTTCTCTGTAAAATGCAGTATGTATTGTCACCTGAACACCAAACTCAACGATTTTGGCTTTTGTCCCTAAAAATCTGATCCGAAATAAGGAAATCATCGATTCTGGGATTATAGGAGACTGATTTATGATTTCGAGCATATAACTATAGAAAAAATAATCTTTTTATATGGTTATTCAATTATTGTGTATTGTATAATGGTGTTTGATTTGACTTAGTGCAGGAAATGTTAATGTTATGAAGAACAGTATGTTAAGATCATCATAGTTTCCAAAGTTATTTGGTCGTGGTTTGGAATTTAAATATTGAGAAGAAATTCATCGTAATTTTTATTCGTTAATAACCACGGCACACAAGTATTAATCTACAGCAACAGTATCCGATAATTTTGTAAGACTTGAAGGTGTGTGTATATGAGGTGAAGAGGAAGAAACAAGTTGATAGGAAACTTGAATATTTAAATGAATCGAATTAAATGAGTAGGAGAGCAATACCTGTTGCTGGAATCAAAAACCGACATAGATAATGGGTTTAAATCACCACATCATAGTGCATGTTGATTCCCAGCAAGTATATTTTTACAGTGAGTAAGAGGTGACAAACGGCAAGGGAGCTTGGTTAAACAAAGGTTTTACAACTTTTTAAACAATTCGGGTGTTAGTTTGACTGTTAAGCTTAAAGGTCATTACAGTAGAATTAGGAACACGTTTCAGGTAATCATTGTTCTTGTTGTTCATAGTATCTTGCAAATTCTAGACAGTAGTGATGGACTCATTTATAATTGGGAGATGAATGTTGGGTAATCGATTGCTTACTTGACATGCAATTTGGAGCGGTTTTATATTTGTCTGGAGAATATTAAATTGAGACAATCTTTGGTCTTATGGGTTAACCCAACTTTATTTCTGCATATTATTATAATTCGGTTTTTCCTGAATTATAATTACAATATCGTGATGCTGTTTCCTTTGATTAACCTGCTGACTAGGATATTATGGAAATAATTTTTGAATTGAATGTTGGGTGTAGTTATGTTTTGTTTGTTGATGAAATCCACGGAATAGTGCGTGAGTTTATTTGATGATCTCATATAGATAAAAAGGATTCCGTTCCTTTCGTTGACATATCAGAACTTCCCAGCTAATTACAAATTGTTACCATATAATAGTAGTTTTTTACATGCAATGGGGAGCTATAAAAATATCTCTGGGCTTGTTACCCTGTACCACTACTTTAACAATTCGCTTTATCAAATCCTCATTGCAACACTAATTAATCATAGCTTCATTTTCAAATCCACTTCCAAGCTCCGATGGATTATTTCGGCTTTTGTCATTTGCTTCTACACTTTATAAATGATGAATTACATGGTTGCAACAATCAACTATGATCTGAGGAACTTTTACGGGTTTTGGTTTAAAGATTTAGAAAATAGGCCTTTTTGCAATCATATAAAAAGAGTAAGACAGTAACACAGTTAAGTAATCTGAATGACGTGGAAAGTGAAAGCAGAAGTACATTTCTTTCATTAAAAAGTTACGTTTTGATATTATTTAATGATTTGTAGAAGCATCATTATTTAAAATATTATTATTTGTTAATCTGAAATAGCTAGTTGTCATGACCAAGAAACATTAAGACAATATTGTGAAATTGTCTTCCTCCTCCTTCTGCATTATTTTTGTATATTTACTCATGGCTTTTAGGAAGTCAGTGCTTGGCATGCATTTGAATAGAATTTTGAGGCACAACAAAGCTGCGTCTAAAACCGTATCAATGTTCTCATTGACAATATAAACTTATCAAGTTGCAAAATGTATGGCTTTACGCTTCAAAGCTTGAGTTGTAGAAAATAGGTAAAATGTTTTCATTTTAAAAAATTTCTAAATGGTAAACTGATCCTACCAACTCGTGATTAAATCATTCCATCAATAATCCTTCCTGAACATATCACCTAATTAACAATTCCTTAACTGTTAATTGTTCTTAGTACCGCTTTGTAGCTTAGCGTAGAACGAATATGGGTGAAAATTTTATTTGGTTGTTATTGATATAACTATGTGATAAATCGGCAAAATGGCAGTCTGATGTAAGGATGAGGAATTCGAGTAATACATTCTAACAATCCACTTAACGACGAGTACCGTCTTCGAAAAATACACCACCATCAATGGCACAATACTTTGGACAGATTCCTCTTTCACCCGGGCTTCCTGGTGGTCCTGGTGGTCCCGGTTGTCCTGGTGCACCGTCTGCTCCCGGTTGGCCATCTGGACCTTGTGGTCCCTTTGGTCCAGCTGGACCTGGTGCACCATCACTGCCTGATCGGCCTGGTGGTCCGGGTGGTCCTGGTACTCCTGGTTCTCCTAAAGCATCATTTATTGAAATTATTTTCTTGAAACGAACATCTGAAATATATTCTCTGGGATATGCAGATAAACTTGATCATATGCAAATTTTTTGCTAAAATCCTAATTTTTACACTGCTTCCTGATAGCAAACGAAAATGAAAAAAAAAAAAAAAAACTGACCGGGAGGCCCAGGTTCTCCAGGAATAAGAGGTTCGCTTGGGGCAGGTGCACCGGGATCTCCTGGTGGTCCTTGTGGTCCAGGTTCTCCAACTTGTCCTGGCGGTCCTTTCGGTCCAGGTTCACCTGGTGGTGCATCTGCTCCAGGTCGACCTGGCGCCCCTGGTTCACCGGCATCTCCAGGTGGTCCAGGAGGTCCAGGTGGTCCAGGTGGTCCTGGTGGACATGGCTTGCACGGTGGTGGTGTGACCTGTTCACAAGGCCGACTCGGTGGTTTGCCAGGATTACCGGGTAAGCCTGGAGCTCCAGGTTTGCCTGGTTTACCGGGTTTGCCAGGTGGACCCTGCGGTCCCACTGCTCCTGGTAAGCAGCATGCATCGCAAGCACCTCCTTGCGTTGTCTGACCACCGCTGACACCAATATCACCGCCTCCATAACCAGCTTGACGACTTGTACGATTCTTCGTAAAAGGAATGTTCTTTAGCTCATGTACTTCTGCCCAGATATCTTTCGCTGACCCCTAAAAAAGTTCCTGTTGAATGTGAAAGAGGAGAAATTTGTCTGAGCTGAAAAGCTATTGTTCGACGTTGTAAAAATTGCTCAGCTGTAAACTAAACACTGACACATCTCCCAGAAAGCCTCTCTGTTATTCAAGGTCGAAAAAGTGAAGTTTTCTTTAGAGTATAGACACAAAAGAAAAATGCATGCGTTACAAAAAAAGAAATTGTGAGCAATGGTGCCATTTGCGCCATTGCTCACAATCTAATACATTTTCTACTTCACAAACAAGTTATAATACTGGCAATTTCAATGAAATGACGATTGTTGGTAGTTTTCGAAAAAGGGAAAAACATGGGAAAAGAAACTGGATTCAGTCACGCGAAACTTACTCAAAGAGACATGAAATGTACCATTTTTTTTCTTTAATTTCCATAATTTAATTCGAGAAACCGAACAAGACGTACGATGGCATGATTTTACATAGATACAGTAACTTTTCGAAAAAGGGCTTAGTAATATCTCTCTCTCTCTCTTGTTTATTTTTATCACAAAAATAACTTTTCACATTTCAAAAAAATCTACCTTACCAACTTTTAATATTGGCAACAATGACTTTCCGTCTACAATTATTTCTTTCGCATTATCCAATTACTAAATATCTCTAATGAATATCTTTATCAGTGAAAGCTTAGTCCAGAAATGGGTCAGTGAAGAGAACAGATGATGGAATAAAACGAAAGATAGGATAGACCGATCCTCAGAGAGTCAAAGATATCACAGAGTTTTCATATTGAAATACAAAGATCACTTTTTCAATCAATGAGAACAAAAGAAAAAAAAAAGATATACCCTGCAAAATGTTATTTCATTGTGCATTTGACGGCGTACATGATGGACGTAGTTATAAACCATAGGTAAGGTCACGCAAACGGATAATACGGCAACCACGGAGAACGTGACTGCGGAATAGGCCACGAACCGATATGCCTTGATGCGACTTTCCAAATCCATACCCCGAATCGTTTGTTGTATCCTTCTCTTTTCCTTTCTCTTCTGGCAGTAGGAGTTGCAGTCTTCGATAGTATTTGCTGTTGCGATTCTTCTGCTTCCTTATATACTGTGAGCTCTGCTGCACTTCTGGAACTTGTTTTTGAATGAGCACGCCCTAATTCAATCATTATTTCTTGTTTCCTCGCATTTTTCACAATCCAGCGACAGGTTGTTCAGTGGCAATTGGAAAGATCGTAAGAAAGGTGAACTGAGAGGAAGCAAGGGATAGCGTGGGTAGATGAACATCGCACACCGCGGATCGCAACCACTCCTCGTAATACCCTGCAGGCATCACGCGACACTAGCTTTGCAGTCGTCATCTACTCATGGCACTCCCATCACTTACTACAAAAATTCTCTGCAACAGAGACGTCTCCATTTTCTTCAAACTGATTGTTTTCTTTTTATAGGTGTATGTATACATACGTACACAAACACACCCTTTTTCATCTGTCACTTAAATTAAAGCGTGTATCATCATTTTTCAACGTTGTTGCTAGATGGCAGTGAGAGTGCGATCACTAGTTGTGACAATCAAATTCATTTTAGTTGTTAGGCTCGATAGCATTTATCAGACGTCAAATCCGGATTGTCTCATTAAGCAATAAAACAAGAGACAGAAATAAGCAGAATTCAGAAATACAATTACGTCTACGCTGTAGTATAATTTCAAAGCAATTCCTTTAATGCATTCGTTTTTCAAATTATGATAGACTCATTTGTGATAAGAACCGGAATTGAAATTAAATAAAAGGTTGACGGGTCTTCTCGTTGAATAACCGACAGTTTATTTTATCAATCCTCATAACTGACTAATCCATTTATTTCGCCGTTATAAATGTCATTATTTTTGATAAGTAAAAATTTTATAGGGATGTAAATTACAGCGATAGGAAATTTGAATGATTTGAACTTCAAGTAAATTGAACTTAAAATGTATGAATTTGTATTTCTGATTTCCATTTCATCCTGTTTGTTCTTTTACCACAGATTAGGTGTTGGACAATTTTTCTGAATGAACTGTCCAGCTAGTGAACCATATCCTGTCCCTTAATTGAACTGTCCTTGAATTGTATTTTCGACAGTGCATACATAGTATGTCTTTCAATCTTATCTATTAGTCTCTTTCTTCAGCATTTTTCTTTTCAGAGTTTCGTGTATTGCATAATTTTTTAAAGTTCTGTTTCATATATGCTATCAATAATTTATTAACATTTCACAGTCATTGAATGACATATTGCAATTACTACATTATACTCTCAATTTTAGCAGTAATCTTGTGAAAGTGAGGTAGATTTGTGTTACTGCTGTTTCGATACTTACTACATCTTGCTTCTCCTTCTTATTAGTCGCGTTGCCGAAATTTGATTAAGTGGGGTACATCACCTGCCAGTAACATCGATTGCACCATTTGTAAAACTGTCCATGAAGGGAATTAATTGCAGCAGTGATCAAAGACGTTGCATCATTTGCTTTATAAATGTTTTTAAATTGAGCTTTAGATATTTTACTCATAAATATTATAGATATGTTTAATTTTGATTCGTTGGGAGGGAAGGAGAGAGAGAAAGAAAGGAGGAGAGGAAAAAAGAACTGGAATAATGACGCAGAACGAAATTTTTACTCACTATTTTCATGACACATTAATGGTAAACTGCGGTCATCAAAAAAAAAAAAAAAAAAAAAATTGTAGAAGGAATGAGGTCTTTGGAACTTATACAATTTAATTATATATTTGTGCGTGTGTGTATGAATTGAAAATTTTCATTATTTAATAGAATGTTTGGTTGTAAACCACATTAACAGAACAAAGGCATAATTTAATGAATGTCATATTTTTGTCTGGATAATCATATTTCTAAATTCTCTGGACATTCTTGATTCTAAATGATGACTCAGCTTATTCCTGACTTTCCACTAAAAGGATTATTCCTTATTTGGAGGAAAAATGAAACGAAATCATCGTTTGTGAATGCAATTGTGTTGTATTCAAGGGCAAGAAAACATTTCGTAGTTGACGAAAAACGTTAATTTCAATGAAATTTCAATGAAATGATTGCAGGTGAAATTTTTACTATATTTCATAGTTGCAAATATATAAAAAATTTTTGAAATAAATATTTCACTTGCTACGATCATTAAGTTCCAGACAATAACTATCGTCGTCTCATTGTTGCCATCAATTTATCATTTGCGGTTGTGTGCGTAATCATTTTTTGATAGTCAACTGTGCTGGAAGAACTTTCTTCTTTCCAAAAAATGATAAAAGATGAAAAAAACCGTTAAAGGGTGTGTCATTCCGCTTTCAGAATTTTAGCTTTCAAAATCTAAGTAATTTTTCTTTGAACGATTCATACATCCTAACAAAATCCTAAAACCATAGAGTAAAGAAAGTAAATTAATCGTCATTGTATTTTTCAATTAGCCTTTTTTGAATATGAAATTGAAGAAGCTTTAAAAGGGCATATTTGATGGTTGTCTTATTTAAGCTAATTTGTCATCCCATAATCCAACCTTTTATACTTTTTCCAAAAAAAATTTTTTTGAATTTTTTTCTGAAATTTTAAAGCAGTTAGGACTTTCTAAAACTTTCCTTTGAAAAGTAGGATTTCGGTTTCATGTTAGATTTCATGATTTTAATTATAAATTCGGAGAAAGATTTAAAAAACAAACTGTTGGATTGGTCATAATGAAGGGAACTTGTTTCGTAAGAATTACAAAACGGTTTGTTTGACGGATCGTTCCACATATTACTCATTCTCCTCCCTAATCAATCGTATTATTATCAGTTATGATTTTCTGTAGCCTTCTGATGCATATTTGTTAGTTTAATTTAGACGTTTTCAAGATTTGTTATAAACTTTATCAATTTTAATTACTCTGAGCTGCAGGATAATTTCCAAAAAAAAAAAAAAAAAATAAAAGTTGTTTTTTGTTCTTCTATTAGATCTTAAGAACTTCAAAGGTAAAGCGGAAATATATACTGAAGTATTTTAAGAGAACAAAGCTCAAAAAATATCTTGCTTAAATCCTAAATATTCGAATACTTTACATTTGCTCACATTTTTGAATGGGGCCATTCATGATTTATAATGTAGCACTCTTTTCTGATAATGCACTTTCGAATTTTTCAAAATAATTCATTTATTAAAAAAAAAAGTTCTTTACAATAGGTAAGCCGGTTCTTAAATGCTTTAATATTTTACAAATCAAGAAAGTGATTTGTTACTAAAAATTTTCATTAACTACACAACACATTCACGATAGTAATGACCAGGTAATAAAAGATATGTCGAATGTATATTCCGATTTTCATGCAATCCAGGAAGGAACTATTATGTGATTGCCGATAAAAAATATAAGCTTTCTACGTACGACTAAAATACAACTGTTCACGGACGGAAATAATTGCATCATTCAACAACCGTGGCTTATTACACCTTATAAAAGATCTGATTTACAGTTTTGCAAAGAGTAAATATTAAAAAACAGGAAATTGAAAAGTGGAAAAAATAATGATTAAAAATGAAGGAAGAATTAAATCATCGAGCAACGCTGATACCAGATAAATGCAAAAGAATCAAATAGTTAGTTATTGAGGGAACACATTGCAATTTACAAAAGTTGACCCAAAACAAATTACCCTTTAATTATGAAATACAGTGAACGATACAAATGATATTATTGCTTATTTAGATTTATGATAAATTTGAAAAATGATTTATAACCGAATATTAAGTTCATGCTGTAAGCTCAAAAATGAGACGATTTAAATCCCGGTATCTGAACGGAGTAAATCTATGATATCAGATAAATGGACGACGATACAGCAATAATTTTTCATTTATATCTTTGTTCTCTCACTTTTCCTCCTCTTCAATTCCTAATCAGAAGGGAAGGAATCAATTTTTATCCAGTCTTGAATAATATATAAATGCATCAGATTGTTTTTCCGTCGAAGATTAAACAACAGATGTTAAGCGCTTGATCCGAAGTGTTTAAAGTTTTGAATTGAATAATAAAAGTTATTCATACACAATTTTGTATATTTCAACTAAATACATTGGTAATTAGGAAATTAATTGACTGAAAATTATCGAATAGTACCGTAGAAAACAAATATTCATATCGGCTTATTTAGGTAATTACTTATAATATGTATTGATGTTAAAAGGAATGGAATATTGATCACTGATAGATAAATTCGAGTAGTAAATAAAAATTGAAATTGAAGTGGAACAGAGCAATTTAGAACAGTTTACATTTTGAATTTAATTCGTGAAAAATTCCAGTTGTGTAAGTGATCATATTAAAGTTCACATTTTTTGATCACTGCAAAGATCATGCAAAAAGTCATCTTTTGAAAAGTTAAAACAGGATTTAATTAAAATTTCTTAATAGAACATTGATTGCTTGAAACAAAATTAAAAATGGCAATTTCCAGTCTATGCTTTTCAGTTATAATTGGGTTTTGTAGTTCTACTTCAAAATCAGTATAGGCAAAAGTAGTTTTGCAAATTGATACATTTAAGATTTTAAAGAGGTTTTAATAAAAATTTATCGAAAAAAAGTTTTCCAAAATATGACTCTCTATCATTTAATCATTTATCGTAATCATTTATTGCTTACTGAGCAGCGCTGTACCTGTGACAAAAAAATTGCCTAATGGCCCAAACTAGAAAACGCAAATTGAGACATTGATATTTCAGAAATAAAGTGGTTTAATAAAAATAATGTATTGGGAAATTAAACAATCTGAATTAATTTCTTTCAATTTGTAATTTAATATTACAAAATGGACGTCTATTAATTCCACTCTTTTTAGTATTATTCCTCCGCTTAATATCTTACCTGGAGTTATGAACACAAAAACCTTCTGAATATGATATTCTGTTGAAAATGAAAATATATTGAATTGAATGGATAAAAATTTGAGAAAGAAAAATCGCGGGAAAAGCGAAAGTTTCAACACTAATATAAAGCGAAATACACAAACTGAATGAATTCTATGAAGAGCAGAAGGGCGCAAATTTGATAGAGAAAATAGGTGCAAGCAATTGTTTAATTGACTACGCACTGAACCTTTCGTATTTTTCAAAATTTTCACATTGTCTGCAAATATCTGAGTTTTTTTTTGCAGCTATTTTTGAAATTTTAAGAAAATTTTTTTTTTTTTTTTAATTAGAGCAATTTCATGTCATAATTTTCCCTAGCCGTTTCTGCTTGACATTTTATATAAACTGAAACACAAATGTGAATATGTATATTTTTGATCACAGTAAGTGTTTGAAAAGAAAGAGTTATAAAAATGAAAATTAGTACGGAAAGAATGTGTTAAACAGTGATTATGTGATTACCTTTTAAGTTAATATAGAAAAGCGAATGTTATAATTTCTGATTTCAACTTAATTTTTATTTTAGTTTCTTTTTTTTTAATATTAACGCAACTAGAATTTAACTCTTATTTCCGGAATGAATTGAGAAAAATGAATTGATAAAAAGAACGTAGGGATTAGATAGGCAAGAAAAGAAGAAAGTCGATAATTAAGAAACTGAAAAAAAATATTCAAATTTGTATGCTACAAACAAGAATTTATGAAATGTCGTCATTAAAAAATGTACAGCAAATTTTCAGTATTTGAAAAAATTAATTTTTGTAATTAAATTAAAAGTTATCAAAAAAAAAAAAAGGATTTTTATCAAAATAAAAAGGAAAAAAAGGACGAACTGTGAAATTAATATCCAAACAAAAATTTTATTATATTCAGCAAGATTATTGCTGCGTGTTGCATAAAGTTGCTAATTCGAAGAATTCAAAATTTTCAGTTTTAATGTATTTTAATAGAATTTTAACCAGATCATTATGATGATTGTCTTTGTAGAAACTAGAATTTAGCGCATAGCGATGAAACCTCGTTTAGAGTCAAAAACGAATAACAATTATACCATAGAAAAAAGTAAAACTCGTTTGTAAGCGATTTCTTCAATTGATAGAATCAATTGAAGAACACGCATTTAAGAATTTTGCTAATATTATCAAAATCTGAAGATTTCTTCTTCTTTATCAAACAGAGTGAAAAATGTACTTTCTACAAAAATCACTAAATTAATCCAACTGGATAATTAGTCTTGTAGAAATTTCAGAGGCATCAATTCTATGGCTGGATACTATCTTATATGGAACTTTTAGAATTTTACACACTTCGACTGCTATTTAAACGATCGACAGAGATGAAAAAAAAGTTAAAGTTAGTCAGTAGTGACGTCTGTCCAATGTTAATTGGTTTACAATCATGGTGAAAGTAATTTAATTAGTGCAAAATTAACTGAAAATGATTATGTCAATCAAAAAAAAAAAAAAAAAAAACATAAAGAAATAAAGAAAAAACTCGTATAATCATTGACTCAAGAACTTTTTTAGTGCCAAATTTTTAAAAATCAATAGGAAAATAAAAATAAGAATTGTGCTTTTTGTAATCCATGTAAATAGTGATTTAAACGGACGTGTCACATATACATGTCAGCATCACTCAACGAATTAATCATAAATAGAAATCATTAATTTCCGCTCATGCTCTATGTCATTTTGTTGACTTCTTATCACACACTTCCTGTTACTTTATTTCTTACAACTTTCAACTAAAGTAATGACATTTAATGAATCTAAAATTATTTTCATTTTTCATTTTGAGAAGATACTATCATTGATCGAAAAGCTTATGAAATATAATAAGCTTCATGCAACGCTATTATTAATATCTAATTTATTTTCAACAATAGGCTCAATGTTGAGCATAGAGCCTAAAGTATTTAACTTAACTTTGAAATGTTTTAAAATTGAGACATAAAAGTAAACTTGTAAATGAATAATGAATGCAGGAATAGATTAAAGTGCTTAAAATTTGATATGTATTTTTCTACAACGTTTCAGTTTGCCTCCCAGCGAAATCCTTTGTTCTGCTTTTGTTTTTAAGCGATTTTTTTTCCGCCATCACTTAGAATTCAGTCGGTTTTCTCGTCTTCTCAAATTCGAAAACGATTCTTCTTATTGCGTGCCACTTCAATATCAGTTTATTTCTTCATATCTCTTCCTTTTATAATTATTTTCGTTTCTTTTCAAGATTTTTATAATTATTTAAAAGAATGGTGAGGGAAAATATTGCCGAAAAGTTAATGTCTTCTTTTAATTACAACATTGATGAGTACTGAAACATTAATATTGTTAAGACAAGAGATTCAATTTACAGTACTAATAAAAATAGATTGGAACGATTTGACAATGCATGAGAATTAATAAGACAAAGTTCAGCGTTCAAAGCGATTGGAATCACGTAAACCGAATGGAAAGACCGGATAGTCATGATTATTCTCTGCTATAATTACATTAAACCATTTACCTTTGTATATCTCTTGAGATAGTAGTAATAAAATTTTAACAACAAAACTCATTATAAAGTTATGCTCAATTTTAATACTTTTAGAATTTCGTTCAAATTTTATTTCTTATGAACAATTTACAGCATAAAATTGGTCAATGAAGTCAGTAATGGATGATAAAAGAGTAGTATTTGTTGTAATTTGTAACACTGCTTAAGTTCAGCTTGTATGCGCAATTTTTGTTAAAATTATTTATGTTAACATTAGCGATATGTTTACTGATATTTTAACGAAATGGAAAAATTCAAGATAATTGTCATTCTGCAAAATTTCCAAATGGCATCATATAAAATAAGCAATTTAATATTTGGAAAGACAGCATATTTGATTTTATACCTTTTTCAACATTTTAATTTAAAATTAAAAATCGGGTAATAGAACAAGATTTGGAATGAAAAATTCCATCATCAGAACAGGATTCATGTTGCTTCAAACAAATAATGTAGATGTTTGGAAAAAGGAAATAAATTCGTTAATAATTTCGAAAATAAATTTTGGTTATATGATCAAATTACCACTGGAAGTAAAGCTAACCACTTTGTAGGAGCTAGCAAAATGTCCATGGATTTGGTATGGACAAATTCAAAATCTGAATTATGGCAATCTTTTTCGCCACCGGAAACAGTCATTTGACAGTCATCCAGCTTGTTGCAGTAATTTTTTTTTTTCAAATTATATTCAAAAAATATTTAGGTTAGAAGTGTAACGTAATTGTTTAGAAATTGTTCTTCTGAAATAATCTTAGCCATGATTTCTCTTTATCTTTATCATCATTATCGAGATCATAGAATTTTTTCTGCAATCTTGTTAATGTTTTGCAAAATAAATGATGAGATGACTGGTGAAGCAGGTACTTTTAGAATAAGACATCAACATACTTTTAAAGTATTTGCTTGGTATAGAAATACGCTGTTTACAGAAAGTGCAAGTATGGCGAAATATCCATTAGGTCCACCAGGTTCTCCAGGATATGATGGTGAAGATGGAGGCTGTTTTCATTCTTGTTAATTTTTTATGATTACTTATTAGTTAAATTAATAATAATTTTTATAGAGGATGGTACACCTGGAATTCCCGGATTAGATGGACTTCCTGGGTTTCTAACGAAATATCAGGATGGAAAATGCATTGAATGCCGACATGGTCTGCCAGGTATGGCAGGTCCTACAGGAAAACCTAGTGAGCCTGGACCAAAAGGACTAGATGGAGTAAACGGAGAGTGAGCACCTACTGGAGTGAGAGGTCTCCCAGGTCCACTCGGTGATCCTGGAATACAAGGTTTGCGATTCATTAAGCATGGGGATACTTCATGGATTTGAGCCATTTTATCTCAAAATATTGGTTTTTTTTAAAAATATTCACAGCTGACATCACTTATCTTTAGGGCCAATGGGATCGTCAGGTGAGCGTGGTGAAGATGAGCTACCAGGAGTACAAGCGATACTTGGAAGGCCGGGTCTACCTGGGCCGATTGGTCCACCGGGACTGATTGGACCTCCTGGCGAACCAGGCATAACAGTGAATGGTGAATTAGGACCGACTGGAATGCCAGGTAGTGCCGGTTTGCCAGGCCTACCTGGACTAAAAGGCGCAGATGGCGAGGTAATAATGAACTATTTTCACATTACGTACTATATGAACGCAGTAGAAAAGTAGTGGTACTAATTTCTTGCCTCATGCTATACACTATTTTTACAGATCGGAAACCCAGGGATCCCTGGACCTAACGGTATTTATTGTCATGTCCACAAAGAAACTTGTTCAGCACAATGATATTGCTTATTTCCATCAGAAACAACGATACATGACATATGCAATTGAATATTTTGGCACTCTTTTATCAAGCCATACATGCCTTTTCACTTCAACTATGACATATCACATTGAAACGATATGAAATGCGCAGTTGCCTTGGCTACCCATCCAGTCGATTCGTTGCAATGAATCGTTTCTTTGTTGATCATTCCTTTTCATCCTTTATCCTAATTCTCTTCCAATTTATTATCAAACATCAACTATGTTCTTCTATTTCATTGTGACATAATTCTACTCAGGGATCACTTTTGAGAAATATTTCGGGTTTACTCGAGATAAATGGACCATGACATTGTTGGTTGTATATGTGCTCAAACATAGTTTAATTTTAGTAAAGAAAATCGTTTTTTTTTTTTTTTTTTTCTTTTTTAAATCTTATCACAGAGGAATATGTTATGATTAATTATTTTTTGTAATTTGACATTAAGTTTTCGAAAAAAGACAAATCACAGCTAACTATTTTGTCCATTTACATTTTATTCACTTTTCTTAGGATATCATTATTTTAACTATAGTAATAACTGGGAAATCAATATTGAGCTTGAATATAAAAGGTAAGTATTACAAAGTTGCAACTAAACAAATGAAGATTGCTATATGAAATAATTACAGATATCTTTCAAAGCCTGAATTTGTACAACGGTTAATTAATCAACTAATAATTAAATTGAGGAAAATTATTGCGTTTTAATGTTTTAAAGATTGCTCATCTCGGAATTTTAAGTTTTCCTACCTAATTCAAATTATTTGGATCATAGTTATGGCAGAATTGTTTCCTTTTTTTTTTTATAAATGTAACTTAGTTCGATTAATTTAAACACGATATCATTTGATTAAATATTTACAATTGTTAGTTGGAAGTATATTTACTAAAATCATGCCCATATTGATATGATTTAAGCAGTCTTATCACAATTAACAACTAAGTCATAAACACATGTACCAGATATTTTCTCAATATATTACCATAGAAACGCGTTCAGTAGAGAAATGTGATGGAATAAGCAAAGAAATGAAAGTATTTAATTCAATGGTAAAATACGTTGCATAGTAACGCAGATAGCTTTCTTTGGCCCATTCAATTACTTTAATTAGTTTTGATATCTTATCAGTTCAACGTATATTATCATCAAATATTATCACTCCTCCTATTTCCACTCCTATCTCTCCATTCTTTCTAATTCTCATCCTCTCTTACATCACATTATTTCACTTCTACTACGACTTATCACCTAAATATTTCTTCTGATATCAGTGTATCATTTTATTAGAACGCTTGAAATTATATCACTTCAATTTCAGATGACTTAATTCACTATTGACTAAATAAATGAAACATAAGACAATATTGTGGAATCAAACTACAGTTACTGATTTTACTGGTTTTTTATTCTCACTTACAAAAAAGTTTTTATAACATGTCACAAATCTAAACTATAGTCTAATTTGATGTAAAAGAAGAAAGTGCAATTTATATGATGAAATTATAACTTGCTATGTATCAGACATTATGAAGAAATTTGAATATTACTTCATATTTTGTGATTCAAATTAAAATTATTCTTTTGAAAATTAAAATTTTGTTTGAGCCGATTTCTGTGCATATTTAAACAGCAACAAACTATACTGATTTTCCAATTGATTTTCTAATTTTGCTTACCCAATTTTTAATATTCAAATGTTAATGAAGAAAATTTTTGAATGATTTCTCAATTTAATCTCTTCAGAACGAGATATTTCCTTTCTTCATTTTATCCTACAATCACTATTACTTGATATTTACAATGTAGTACAGCCAATCTCTGGAAGAATGCCACCACTGAAACTACATTAAGCTTGCAGTTGCAGATTAAAAAAAATTGAAATATTCAACATACTGCAATCTAAACTATCTCAAATCCCATTTTATCAAAAAAAAAGAATTATACATGTATAAGAATTACCGAAAACAAATGTCGCGAATACTATTACAAAATATTTTCTTTTCGAGATTAAGAGAAAAAATTGTTAAGTTACGATTGCCATGTTAAATTAAAATGTAGAACTACAGCAATTTAAAACTTTTGAAAACCCAAGTAATAGAAATTTAACTTATATGTGAAGACTTATTCAGTGATAGACTTATTTTGTATTGTCCATGCTTCTTACTGCCAGTCTTTGAGTTCCGATGAATGAAATTCCAAAAATTAGATTTATTTATTAATGTAACTATTGTTTTTGCTTTCAGAAATATCTAAGATGTACACAGACAGAACGAAAGAATTATTTGCAGATTTAATTGAACGCCCACCTCTTAGCGATCAGTTACTGCAACGACCGCCATTTCGTTTCTTGCATGATATTGTTAAAGTCACAATTCAAAATACAGGATTTTTAATGGTTTGTTTTAAAAAACAAACTTTATGTTGGTAGTTTTGACCATATCAATCATTTTGAAGGAATAATAACGTTTTAAAATTTTTTAACATTGGGATAACATTGGCAACGGTCAACTACCGGTTGGCCGAATTAACTTGATTTGAGGTGTTGAACTTCATCTTACATTTAATTTGTTTATGGCATAAGTAGAGTTTCATTTTATTTGTTGCAAAATGTAGAATTTACCAAAACAGTCAACAGTAAGAAAATAGTTAATCAAGCAATAACACCTAACAATCATCCAGTTAAAAAGAATCAAAGATAGATAACAGAGTAGTTTGAAGCTGATGTTTAGCATTTAACCTTATCGATTCAACTTTATTATAACTTTATCCATCCACAAAATTCATGTTAATTTTACCTTAAAGTAATTTATTTTAAAGTAATTCTATTGTCAGTAATATGAGCTAATATTTTTTAGATATCAGTACCATTATTCCTGATGATGTGAAGAAGTCAAATTATGATGTCATAATTATATGTCTACTTAAACTTAACAATATTGAGGCATCAAAAAAAAATTGTGATTAATGACATTTCAATTTATGTGCTGTAAAACTCAATTAATGAATATTTAATGAACTCCTGAGTAGTCAGTTTATTTGTACAGGATAACTTTACAAATGAGGAAATGGATGCATCAAATATAACTGATAAAACAGCAAAAGCGAATTTCTTGAAGACATTGATTAAAGCATTGAACGATGATGGATCATTGAAGAATGTCAAAGCTGCCAAAATAATAGCTGGAAAGGAACCCGAAATGACGAATTTGGTATGTACAAAAATGATTTTGAATTATCTGTAAATTCAAAATCATCTGTAAAATGATAATTGACAGCTGTAATTATAATCAATTTATTAGTAATTTAGAGTTTTCAAGTTCTATCAGGCACATGCCTGCATGTAATTTTTAGTGATTAATTGGCCGATGTCGTCATCAATAAAATAAAATAAAAAATAACAAATGCATTTGTTTGGAATCTTTAGTTTTGCTCTTTTCTTCGCTTGACATTTTATGAAATTTTAGAAGAAATACTTCGAACGTTTTAGATGCTGCAAAAATTAGCGATTAATGCAACAGCATTTCGTGATTCGAAATTAAAACATAATGCGAATGAAGAAAGACAAAAGAAAAAAACGCGTAAAAAGGGACGCAACAATAAAGGATTGGAAAGACAAAATAGTGATAATGAAAGCAGGAAGGTTCTATCCTTCTTTATTAATCTAATGTTAATTATATAATGAGTTAATTGAAATTCCAGGGTTGAGCTAATTAATATTTCAAATTGTAGGAATCATTGAAATGTTGTGAACATTATTCGTAGATTTGAACGCAGAAGTAATACCATAACGAAATTATAAAGAAGAAAAAAAGGAATTTTTAGGCTGAAAAGGAGAAGCGACATTCAAGCAGAAGTAAGGAAAAGAGGAAGGAAGAAACTGAAAGTAAACCAAAGGTAATTAAAGAAATAGTTCACAGTAATGAACAAGGAGATTCCATTGATGAAAGACATTTTGAAGATATTGCACCGGAAACATCTTCAGTGAAGATGGAACCAGTGGTTAACACTGATCAGGAATCACTGGGTTAGAAATTTATAATTTTGAAAACTTTATTTTCATTACTTTTTTTCGTAACTTGCCGCTTCTCTGTGAGAGCAGCGACCGGATCCACCTGAATAAATTAACATGATCAGATAATATAGTTCCTATAATATGAATTATTAGCTGTAAGAAGTGAATACATGTCTATTTTTTATCTATCTGCTTTCAAGTTCCGTATCTCCGTGCTTCACTTCTAAGAATTAATTGGTGCATTCCTAACATAAAGAAATTGGATTCAGTAAAATTCTTCAACTTCTTAAAAAATACGTCAAATATGTATATATATATATATATATTTTGCTTTGATCATAATAAAATATTTCTAGTAAATGCGAAGGCAGAAGATATAAGAAATGAAAATAAACAACCTTCGGCATCACCAGTATTAGAGGAACAGCTACGGTTCATTATAATCTTTTTTAATTTATTCCAATTAAAATTTCAGAATATAAAAATTTCTTGGAAAATCTCTGATGCTCATTATTTGCAATATCCATATGTCATATAATATGCGTAAAAATTTCTCTTCAGACAATCAGCATCATCAGGACGACCACGTACATCAGCCAGTAGATTGGGCACTGCTGCAGCTCGACCAGCTCCTCCCAAGATTAAGAAGAAACGAGTGGAAGAAATTGATCGAAAACCAGAAACCGCAAGTTTTTTTTCAAATAAAATAAAACTTGTAATTATCCAAATTTTCTTTTTTATAAATCAAAAAATAGATTCGTACACGAACAAATTATTTCTTTGATCTTACAGAATGTGCAAACAAGCGGAGTAATTATTGGTGAACGAATGGAAAGTGATGAGTATTTTGTTGTAGAAATTGAACCATCATACGATCAAACTGATCAGATTAATGATGATGAGGTGTATTTCTCTAAAAACTTAAAGATTGATGCAATACAAGTTAAAATGATCACCGTCATATATTTTTCATAAAATCTTTATCTTAAAAATTAATCTGTCTCAGCCTAATCACATACTCTTAGGTTATCAGTACTTAAGCTATCCCATCAAACTTTGTAATCCTCAACTTTAAAATTAAAATTATCTCTTATGCAAATATTATCCAAGAGCCACTACACCTAATTTCAGCTAATCAGCGAAGAACATGGCGGCTTAGTACGGAAAATTCTTGAGACTAAAAAAGAACTAGAAGATAAAATAAGCAAAGAAGCTTACAGCGCTCCCATTAGTGTATTTGATGAAAAGAATCAAGCAAGGTCACAACAGGAGGTTTTATATTTCATTTTATTAGTTTCATCTTCTAATCCTTTTTGGTTTCTTTATCAAGTTCTCTTATCTTTTGAAATTGAGCTTTATTCTAACAGGAAAATCAGCATATGAGTTCATTGCTGATATATTTGTTCCTGCTAATGTTAGCATTTTTTTCATTTCTTAATTGCAGTTAATTTGATTTAATTGAAGAGTTCAAGTCTCAGCCAACGAAAATTTAAAACTAATATTTGCGAAAGTTTTATTTTACTTTTCATTTCCATTTTTTTCAGCTAGCTAATCTACAAAAGACTATACAGCAGATAACACAAACAACGCATCTACTTGCTCGTTTCCTTGATAACGTACAGGTTATCATTACTTATTCTATAGATTTATGATATTGAGAAGAGTTATTATAATGCGAATTAACATCTGCCCAAAACAACTGAAAGGAGATGATGCTGTTTCTGTTTACTTAATGGTACTTTATAGGAAGACGCTGAGATTATGTTAAAAGAAATGGAAGAATGGTGTTTAGAAAGTACTAAAAATATACGTGAATTGCGAGAACGAAAAGCGAATGCAGAAGGATCATCGGAGATTTTACTGCTGAAGTTAAATCAGTTAGATGAGCAGATCAAAGAAGTAAAAAGCGCCATTGTTCAAACTAAAGCTAACGTGATAGCAAATGAAGAGAAAATTCGAATTATTGTTAATAATATTTAATTTTTCAATAAATTTCATAACAATCTACTTGTCTAACATTCATTACTTTCACAATTCAAGAAAGTTTCCCGTGTATGCCAACTAGTTTGAACGAACAAATGGATTTGACTCATTTCTAAGAAAATTTTTTATGTATTAATTTGGATAAATAATATTTGCAAACAACGATACGATGATATGCGAATGGAGAAAAAAAAAGGAACATTGAGAATGATAAAATTTTTTGAGGGAATCACTTTTGTGTTATCAAGTCCGTAGATAATAAAATATTATTTGTTGCAAAGATAATTCATTAACAGAATTTCTCCAGTCATCGTTTTATCACAAACATTTAGCAATGGACTTCACTTACTCAAAGCTCAATTATTGCCGCATAAGCCATTTGCGCTTTCCGTGCTAATGTTTCTGCACTGTTCCAGCACTCCTGCATTTTGTGAAAAAAAAAAAAAAAAAGGAATCAATTTCAATAAATTTGAAAAGATTCAATGTTGCTGAAATGATACTTTTTGACAAACTTCAATATGCAATTGTCTTACTTCGCATGGTTTTTTGGATGCGAAAGATAAATTCAGTACACTTACAATCATTTCTACTCTATCTTATTGCTATAATAATTCAAAAACGTTTGTTAAAAGCATATCGCGTTGAAATTGCTTGAGAACCTTTTCACAAAATTCAAAAAGTCATTTAAAATGTTATTTGAAGTGCTAATGCGACTATCTTATATGAAAAAGCATGAAGATGTTGTTTTTGTCACCATCATTACAAATGTTCCCAAAAGTTTGAAAACAATAAAAGTACAATGCATTATTTTTCATATCTATTTCCCAAAAGTTTCTTTGTAATTCTTCATATAAAATTAATTAAAAACAATTTATAACCAAATTCAAAACTTTGAAAAATTAAAGCAAATAGTATTCCTTCCGCAGCGGAAAATGAAAGAAAGAAAAAGTTGAAGTTTCATAATGCAGATGGATCACCTGTTGCTCTGCTATCTTTTGATCAGTCCTATCGTGCACACATTTGATATACTTTTGTATTCAAACAGTCAACTTTAGACTAATACCTGAAATGTTGTACTTAATGTAAGGCAGACTTATGAAAGTTTGGAAGAAGAAATTTATGTCTAGTATAAACTGGTTAAAATCTGAAATTTTTAATGTATTTATATATATCATCATGCCGTTATATAAAATACATGGACTCTACTTCATGACAAATTAAATTTTGTAGAATTAAGAGTTGAAAGTACTCTTAATTCTACAAAATTTAATTTGTCATGAAGTAGAATCCATGTATTTTATATAAGCTTCCGAATGTCGTGCATTTGAATTTATTATTCTTATCAGAAGTTTTGTAAATAATTGATACATGTTTAAGGAATCAAGTTATAATTTCAGATGAAAACAACTACAGAATTCTCGGTTTTCTTCAAATAATGACAGCAGCAATTTTGACTGCTCTGATTAAGATTGAAATGCCACTACCAGTAAGTTTAATCTAATTTTCACTAACTGCTTTTGAAAATTCTGTGTGTGAACAGATATGGTATTTATCCAGATCATAAAACCTTACCTATCTGCTCCTTCATGCTTGTATATATTCTATTCTAACATTTTTAAAAAATAAACATTGATGTTAAAGTCTCTAACAATAAATTTACGAACATTCCAGAGATGTGTTCTTGATATCAAATTAAGTAACAATATAGATTATATCAAAGACTGTACACTCACATCTTCAATCTTTAATCTTTTCCAATAATTGGTATAGCACTATAAGTGTATTTTAGGAAAAGGTGTATTTTTTTTACAATATTTATAGGCAAGTGATTTTGTAGTATTTGTTTTTCTTACCTACATTTAAAGTTAAAAAATATTAATGAGTAAGTTTGTTCTTCATGGTTATGTTTAGCATGTAAGATGTTTGAAATTAAATGAATGATATCATTTTGCTGCTAAAATTTGTTTTAATTTTTTGACATTTATTTAAAGCAATTAGTTGATAGAGCTTAACTGCAAGCTTATGAACAACTGACCATTTGCGCAAATAAAATATAAATGAATTAAATAATCGAAGGTATAAGCGAAGGAGAGTGTGCACAGCGTTCATCCCCAGTAGGTAATCACTGCATCTTGCGCTTCGTTGTGATACCATGTGCTGAACGTGCAATGTATACCGTAAAAAGAGAAAAATGAGCAATGTGCAAAAAACCGAAAACAGTAGGAATCCATAAAAATTATTACCAAAAAATTTAAATATCGATTTTTTGCTTATGGAAATTTTTACTTCTCAAGTTTCATTTATAAACAGTGTGATTGTTACAAACAGTTAAAGTGCGGTCATTTATATTTTTTTCTCGCGAACTTATGGTATAATGTGCTAAAGAAGTGATTGTGTTCTTGCTTTTCTATTCTTTCCCTCACTTTTGATAATTAATTGTACAAATAAATGTGAATAGAAAGATATATTGCAAGAAGCTATATTAGAAATTATTCCAAAAAGGAAAGAAACTTATTTGAAATGAATTAATAAAATTAGCCATGTCTATTCCTACCCAAAAAATATGAGCATACTTTTAGATCATGATCCGAGGTAGAGGTCGGGAGGTCATGAGATTTAGAGGCATTAACAATTTTTTTTTTTTTTTTTTTTTTTTTTTTTTTTTTTTTTACTATTCTAAGCTATTTTATTGTTGTCTACAAAATTGATTCGATTTTGCTCCACTAAGATGACATATTCAGCAATGTCCCATCGAGTTTTCACATTAAATGCTTTGCTCGTCTTCAGAGTATAAAAATAATGTTTGCTATTCTGCTGTATCAAATCATGATTTTATAATCATGATTAAGTGGAACACTGATTATGCATGATAATTGCAGTAGTAGTTAAAACTGTTTGCTTCAGTTCCGCATTTCCTCTTAAAGGAAAAGACGATAGAGTCATGCATTGGTACGACAGTGTGTACGAGGCATGCAAACACTGCAACGGATATACTGCACCCGAAGCGCTCTATGGACCTGAAAGGATTACAGCGAATGGATGTGAATTGCAACATAAAACGTTTTCATTCGTGTAAGTTGTCACCAAATAATATCTAACAATACTTTAAATTTTTTATCAGTTTTTTATCTTATATGCAAATATTGTCGCAGATTCCGCTAAAAGATATCATGAAATGTGAACATTACAATGAATTGTATTCCAATCAAAGAGTTTTAAAATCATTATCAAAACTGCAAATTTTTATGCAAATGCATGAACATGATTATGAATAATATAGAGCAATGTAAACTAGAAAAATAAAAATAAGAGAAAAACAAATCAGAGTCAAAAAGATCTAAAAATCTTGCCTTTTTCTTTTACCATCGTTTTTCTCTTTTTTTCCTCCTTCCTCCATTTTTATTCCGTTCAAATCGTTCCGTTTAATTAAATTATTGCATCTATTTTTTTTTTTAAAAATGTAAAATCAAATTACTTAGCATTCAACTATGCTGCAATTCCTTCTCTGTTTTAAACAGGAAGACTATTTATCAAAAAAATTTTGTTGTTTCAAGGTTGAAAAGGAAATAAATCCTGTCAATTACTAGGAAAAAAAAAAACTTTTGGGAAGTTTAATAGAATTCACATCTTTCCTTAATTTTTTCTTTTAAAACTTCCTAAATAACTTATTGTGTTTTGTAAATGATGAAGGCAGAGCAGGACGGAAAATAATTGAAATAATGATTTAAGTAAGCTGATGCTATACTAACAGCTATTAGCATCCAATGCTTGACCACTGTTGATCAAGCAGTTACGGTTGGATATTCTACTAAAGTCACATAAATTAAGAAAATCACAGGAATGTTGTCGTTTTTACTGCGAAGTTTTGGTAATCTGAGGTTCTATTTAATGACAATTATTCTTTACAAATGTTAACTTCAATGATTTATGGTGGACCACGCATTACCATAAATGTTCACACATTTTTTTACAAACATAAAACTGTTTGCTTTCGAATTTAGCTGGAAACTCTATAAATTCAATATAAATAAACTCATTTTAATTTGAGGATGAAATGTATGTAAAAGTTCAATTGAAAAGTAGCAAATATTTCAGTGATTATCGATCGGGAAAAGAAGTTCGCTTATATGGTATTATAGACCGATACACGCCAGGTGCAGACGCTGATGAACTGGTAAATCAGCTTGTTACTGATTTACTACCTTTCGATCGTACAACCGACCACATATTGAACAACAATCCCAGCGATCGAGAGGTTTGTCAAGACATGTCTTTTCCGTAGTTGACTATTTTTGTTACATAACATTCGTACAGGTTCATGTTATCAGCGATCTATCAACAGTACAGATTATCACTTGATAAATGATTGCACAGACTGAAGTGCATAGGTTAAAATTCTGTTATAGTGTTTGTCTCATATAGTTCTGGGAAGTTGTTTCGCGTTTTGCACTTACATTGAACAATACGACATTTGGAAAAAAATCGGAACTTGACTTAAGTAGAAACAGTAAAATTGAAATATACAATTTGCAAAAATAAACAAAATATTCATTTTATATTTATTTTCAATTTATAAAATCCGATCTGAAATGATTGAAAAAAAAAAAAAAAAAACCAACCAACAGCTGCGGGTATTTACTTCAAAATTACAGAAAAATCATAGTTGCTGGAAAGCTCGGATTTTATAAACCTATGTGTGTTTTAGATATATTGTTTGTTGGATGGAGTATTACGCAAGGTTTTTAAAGTCGATTTAAATAACGGCAATGTAAACACACCTTTATATTATGGAAACGACTCACAGGGATCACCTGGATCTTCTGGAAGCATGCATGGGAGCAATGGCACCATACAAATAAATGGAAATTTTGTAGTACCAAATAATGGAATTAATTTGTCAAACACGGTAATATCGAATCAACCAATTACCGAAGTAGTAGCACAGAAGCTGTCTGTGATGCAGTTCCTTAATTTTTATAAGGATATCATTGAACGAG